GTATCTCGTTCTTCAATTTCTCTCCATCATCCTCAGATTATTTCTCTGCACTCTATGCTCTATGTGTTCTTCCACTTCTTCCATATCTCTTCTGGTAATGGGATTTTTTGCTCCTAGTTTTCTGTTTAGAAGCTTTGCCTTTCCTCATGCAATGAGTTTCTCGACTTAGAGTAGATTGGTCTTAGCCCTGCTGAAGGCAGATAATTATTGAATGTGATTACCATTTTAAAGAAGATCTCAGCTATGGTAACCAGCAGTCATGAGACAAGGAAAAGCATGCAGGGCCTGGGAATGTGTGAGCATTGTTCTTAATTTGCACATTGTCAACAGAGTCCTTACAGCCAAGATGTGTTATCATGAACCAGTCTGATAATAGTATGTTGTTCCAAAATAAAGTGACTTCATTATGTGCGTAAATAATATCATTAGAACCAGGGGGACTCCTGCAATAAGTAATTAGACTGACAGTGATTTTACTCAAGGTCAGTGCTAGCCAGACAAGGAGAAGTAATTATGTATGATATGAGCACTTGTAAGTAAGTGGGTACTACCCTTGAGTAACTCCTGTCTTCAATGATGGCTGTCTGGCTTTCCACCCGTGTCTTCTTTCCATTTGCATCTCAGTGACAGACACACGAATGTCAGATGAGATTGTGCACAACCTGGATGGCTGCGAGATCTCATTGGTAGGAGATGACTTGGACCCAGAGAGGGAGTATCTGCTCCTGGATGGGGCACTGCTGCAGCAGCGGGGCCTGGAGCTTGTTAACACCTCTGCCTACCTGACCATCACAGGTACGTCCTCTCCTTGGTCGCAGCTGTCTAGTCATGTCTCTCTTACTCCCATCACTGGGAGGAGCACTTAACCTAATGTTAGAGATGCGTTGGTGTACTTTGTGACACTCTGAGATGTAACCATTTGATGAACTCCTGGCTTTTGGAAGTCCCAGGCCATTTGCTTGGGGAGCTGGCTTCTCCTCCACTACATGGTACTGGGGCATAGTGTCTAAGTGCTCACCCAGGCTTGTATCACTCCTCTGGACTTACTCCTTGGGGTTTGGTTTTCTCAGGTGCCAGCAACATTTTGCATCACGTGACTGAGGGACAACATCCCACCACTTGTGGATTGGTACAACAGTGTTGTGCTCTCCAGAACTTAACAGGGCTTTCGCTCTTGGACCTTCCTTCCCTTCCACTTGTTTTATCAATGCAAGCAGGGATTTCATTAGGTCCTTAGCAGCAAGCTCCATCTCGGAGCCCTTCCTAAAATTAATGAACCCAGCATTGCCTTGGATTCCTCTATAGCTTCTAGTTGCTATAGGGTTATGATGCCAGATGATTTTGAAGCAGGAGCTTCCTAACCCCACACCAATTCTCTCTTGTTGTCTCAGGTGTGGAGAGCATTGCAGTTTATGAGGAAATACTACGCCAGGTCTCGTACCACATCAACCACGGTGCTGCTCTTTATGAAAGGAAGTTTCACCTGTCCTGCACTGAGATGAATGGGCGCTACTCCAGCAATGAGTTTACTGTTGAGGTACAAGACCAATACATGCACATATAGCTTCTTCTGCGGGCATGGAGAGGACGTGGTGGATGGGAATGCACACAGCGTAGAATGTACCATGGACACAGGGCTGAGTCCTCTCACTCTGGTCTTTCTACAGGTGAATGTCCTCCACAACATGAACCGGGCTGCTCATCCTAACCATATTCTGAGTTCCCAGCAATTCGTGCACCGAGGCCATCATTTACCCCCAGAGCTGTCTGGGCACAGTTTGGCAAGCACCCATAACAACCCAAGTATGTAACACTGTCTTTTGGGTTTATTCCTTTAGGTCAGGATGCTGATTTTCTGATATCCCGGCATAACCTATAGCAGATGATTCCTTTCAGACTCCCTATACCCATTATGGGGTTCTCGTTATACTGTCCTGTCCCACTTGTCATTAGCCAGTGGACTGCAGCCTGTGTCAAATTGTATTTTAGAGCACGGTGCAACAATCCTCCTCTTGTGGTGTGTTGTTTTCTAGATGTAGAAGCAGCCTGAAATCTACACCTTAGAGGGTCTATAAAGAACAACCGTGAGCTGGATGATTTCATTTACACACCTTGTAAAGGTGCTGTGCATGCTTGTGTAATTTCAGAAAGTAGCTTCAACAGCAGGAGAGAAACAAGTGAGTCAAGACTGCCACTGCTGTAAAAAAAGAGATGTGGTGGTCAGCAAGGCAGAAAAATATAGGAAATGGCAATACAAAGACAAGAGGAGGATTCTTGCACCCAGAACGGAGAAGCCTGAAAGCTAGACTAGATGTTAGTTTGTGCTGGTAGCTCTGTGCCACAAGCATTAACACAGTCCAATTGGTTCCTTCTAGGCTGTGAAAGCTCAGGACTTTATACAGACATTTTGATCCCAAGCTGTAGGGTACAAACAAGGCACCTTTAAGCTATCTTTTGCTGCAGCTTCCTGCAGCAGCTGATTCCAAGCTAGTCCAGTCCTGCAGCTGGCACTTCAGAGACAGCCTATGTATGTGCCAGCCTTTGTTTCTCCTCTCCCCAGCTCTGCCTGATGGCAGCAGCAGACTTGTCATTGCTGTACAGAGCCATAACAATCAGGAAAGGCCTGGATAGATTTTGCAGAGAAGGTGGTTATCTGGAGAGTTAAGGCTCAGCCCTACAGGCCTAGAACAAATAGGTGGAAATTGGGTTAAGGGTCTTAGATAAATTTAACCCCGTGGAGAAGCTAGGCTTTTACCATGGCACTAGTAGAAATTTATCATAGCCTTCTCAACTTCCTGTGTGCCATGCAGGCATCTTTTCAATTCTTGCTTTCTCTACTGCTTGAACAGAAGCAACACCCTCTGAAAATAATCCTTGAGCCCTTAAAGGCTCTCCTCAGCACACATTTCTCCCTCCCAAGAGGGCGATACAGATACCTGCTGTGGAAGAGATTCTGGTGAATTCTGCAGATAAAGATGTGCAGAGTCTACAGGCCACGCCAGTTATCAGAGGGTGCCTGGACCTACACATCCTGGAAAACCCTGCAACTCTCATGAGAAAACACAGGAGTTGAAGGCAGGAACTGCCTGTGCCCAGCGGAGCAGAAAAGTCAGGACATGTTCCTGCCTAGACCAAAACCCCAAACTCTGCCCAGGAATCTCAGCCCCTGCACGTCAGGTTAGAAATGCGTGTTTCTGTGACAGACTCTAACCGTACCTTCTCACTTTCTTTCTAAGTGGTCCCCAGTGCTGCCACTGTCATCATTGTGGTGTGTGTGGGCTTCCTGGCACTTATGGTGATCCTTGGCATCCTTCGCATCCACTCCCTGCACCAGCGGGGAGTGGGGCAAGAGGTCCCTGGGGCTGCTGAATCAGGGCACACCAGCACTGGAGGCAAAGAGAACGACATGTTCTGGGACGACTCGGCCCTCACCATCATCGTCAACCCCATGGAGGTGAGGAGCAGCCACAATGGTGGGGCCTGGGCAGGCAGCTCAGTCGTCAGATCCTTTCACTTACTGCATGTTTCACCTCCCCAGTCCTACCAGAGCTGTCAGGAGAGGGCAGCAGGAAGCATTGAGGGCAGAGCTGGTGAAGGCATGGAGGACGAGGAGGACAGTACCGACTCGGAAACACCTGACTCCCCGGACAGCAATGACGTGGATGATCGACACATCATCGGCAAAAGCAACGTCTCTCACCGCTACTAGGAGCTTTAAAACACCAGCCCAGTGGATACCGCCCCAAACCATAAGGCTGGAAGGAGGAGGTGTCTTACTTTGAACTTCTTTCTTCCCTCACTGTGTACACATGTGCTCCTCCCTCATTTGTCATTTCTGCCTCCCGTGTTCCTTCATCTTCTGCCATTCCCATTGTGGACATTCCCCACATTAATGACCCCCCATCTGGCTCTCTAGAAACATGTGTTAGGGCACTTACACATGATTGTGGCACGGTTCAAACTATGATCCAGATGTTGCAAAGAACAGAAATCTGAAAGGCAGAGCCAGCCATAGGGCTCAGAGTGGGGTCTCTCACAACCCCTACCCAGATATTATATATATATATATTGTATATTTTTTCAATGTTGTCATTTGAGGTTTATTCTCGTTTCATGCAAAAAAAAAAAAGAAAAAAAACAACCAACAAACCACTGCAGCTTGTGTCGCTTTGTAAAATTGTCAATACTCCTAAACTAAAGGAATGAAGATAAGAAAGATGAGGAAACAAAGTGGATTTTAAAATAAATGGATTTCAAATAAAATATTCAGGGCCTCTTCAGTTTTTCACTACAAGAAGGGAAAGAAATAGTGTAGCCTCTAATGTGAGACTGGAGGTTGTCCAGAGTGTGCATTTACTGAAATTACTTATCTTGGGGAAGGGTTACATTTTTTAGCATATGTGATGAAACAAGAAAAACACATCAGGCCTGACTGTACCCTCTGCCTTTCTGAGATTCAAAATACTCATTGTAAACACAATGTAGCCTTCCCCAGGACACAGGGCTAGGAACCCACAGAGGAATAGAAGGCATCCAAGCCTGTCACAGGCAAATGTAACACATGAAGGAACTGAATTCCTTATTATGGAAAAAAATAAATAAGGCTTTTGCCATACACTTAGTGTATCAATAGAAACAGGCCAAATCTCCTTAGCTTCATCCATCTTCTCACTTGATCTGCTTTTTTCACCAGCATGAAAAAGTGTTTTTTCGTATCAGGGGTTCCAGCTTGTATAACAGCTGGAACGAAGTATAACAGAGCACTTCTGAGGGAAGGAGGTGCCCTCCTCTTTCTGCTGAGAAGGGTGGGGATGGGAACACATCAGATACTGGGAAAGCATGACTCTGAGCCCAGCAGTAGCATGGGTTTTTAGGGTAGTGCTTCATAGCAGGTTGTGCTTCTTCCCTTCATATACTTGGTCTGGTTTTTCAGACCTTGCAAGACAAACGCAGGCTGTCAGCTGCCTGACACATGTTGGGGCAAAGAATGTGTTGCTTGAGAAATCCTCCTGAGGAGCAAGAAGGCAGCACAGTAGGTGAAAGTGGAAGAGCCTCTCTGAGGGCATGGAAGGTTGCAGCACAAGATCTCTGCTTGCTGCAGTTCTCAAATGTCTCAGCTCTAGCCTGTCTTCATGCCCAACTGTACCCATGCATGGTTGTTACTGGGTCCAAAACAAGTGAACATGCTGAGGCTAAGATACTTTTATGCTTTCTGCTTTTTCTCTTTCCCAGTAAGTTCCACACCCTTGTTTCATTTAGGGAAATTACAACAGGCACTGTCAAACCAGTGCCCTGACACCTTGATGCACTGGAATAATTCAAGTCTCCAGAAAGAAAAAAGGCTACATTGTGCACGCTGGAGCAAAAAACTTGGCACAAAATAGTCTTACAACCTGAGAATGCCTGACGTGTTCTGATCTGCGACCAAAACCACCACCTCTCAGTGCACTGAGGAAGACCAGGTCTCAGGACCACGAGGTCCCTGTACCCCTACAGCAGCCTCAGCCAGGAGCTACAGCATGCTTACAAGGTGGAAGAGGCAAAATGTACGATGACTTCATAGGTAGCCATCATGATGGCTGCGTTTGGGATCTGGCGGATCAAGTGAGCCAGGAGCCCTCGGTATAAAGCCAAGGGTCCCTCTTCATGGACCACAAGCTGCAGAGTCTGTATCAAAGAACGGTATCGTGACCCTTCTTCCCGCAACCGTGTCCGAAGGACCTCTGAAGAGACAGGAAGGGAAGTGATATATTAGCAGATGGATCCTACAGACACAGCATCTCCCATCAAGGGTAACAGAATTAAGGAGGGGGGACCACTACCCACTCACCATGTGGATATGCAATGCACGTAGCACATGTTTTGGAGACAGCAGCAGCGCCCATTAGTCCAAAGAAATCATGGTTGTTTGGTGAAGGTGTGATTGGTGGGGAATGGGAGTGATGGCTGTTTCTCAGCTCCTGTTTCAGTGCTTCATAGATGACAAAGTGTATGACGGTCTCTGACACTCCAGCGTAGGAGGCGGTGACACCACGGTAAAATCCACGAAGGCCTTCAGTGCGGTACACATGCATGGCACACTGGAGAGCATTGCTGGCCATCTCCCCCTTTGCCCTGCCAAGAGGAGAGAGGGTTAGAATGTCACACTGCTCCTCTGACCTAAAATGCTGTTGTGAACACTACCATAAGACTCTTCCCCAGTCTGTGACTTGCCAAGTTCTCCACCCAACTCCACCTCCAAACTAGTCATGATGTGACACGGAGTGGCTCTGCATTGCTGGCCTGCCTTACCTGGCTTCCAGCTGCATCCTGGTTTTCACTAACCAAATAGGGTTGGTGAGTGTGGCTGAGCTCATGCCTAGAGAACAGAAGATGACAGGCATGAGAACCAGGATCACACTGACAGTTTGTGAAGAGGTGCTGATCTGTCAGCTTCTGAACTCTGTTTGGCAAGCTGCAGGCATTTGCAATTTGAGAATGACCTTGAGAAGAGATATTTAGGGCAGGCTATTTGATTCTCCTCCTCTCCTCTTCCAGCCGTTGTCTGGTGGTAATTAGCCTCCAACAAACCCTACTACAGGCCCTGGTGCTACGAAGAGGCAGGAAGCAGCAGGCTAATTTTGCAAGAGTGGAGGATTTTGTTAGAAAACTGGGATATATCAAGAGAAAGATTCTGTGAATGCCTTCTCCATCTCGTAGCTGAATAAAGCTCTGATAGCAGCTGAAGGGGTAAAGAGTTTGAAGAGGTAAGCCTAAGAAGAATGAAGAGTGAGAAAACACTCTGGTTGCCTGAACTCACTTCTCCAGGTGTGGAGGGAGAAAACCTCAGAGAGGGAGAGCACGACTGATGGGAGCAGCAAAAGAGAAGGAATGAAACCTGTTGACACTTAGAGATCGAAGGACCCCTTGGCTCTGATTTGAGACAGAAAAGGCTCACCTGCACAGGCTGCTGCTAGTATGTGTACCTTCTTGGACTCAGGTACAAGGACAGCATTGAGCCTCTCCTTAATACCAGAATAGGCAGCAAAATATATAGCCCTGGTTGGAAAGAAATACAGAAGAGTTTATAGCTCCTGTATGAAGAGCAGAGACACTGCTGTGGGTCTCACTCCAACTTTTCTTAGTCCCAGCACAGGTTTATCAGGTTTGTTTTGTGACATCAGATACCATTTAATCCAGGCCCACAGCAATCATCTTAATACTATGATCTGAAGCTCCAGAAAACATTTGTGTGAAGGGGTCTTGTGGCACATAAGCACAAGACTCAGATTGCTTTCAGAATGTGGAGCAACAGCTATCACAGAGGCCCCTTAGAAACCATACAACCTGAGCCATTGTCACGGAACAGTACTCACCGGGAAGGAGCAACTCCAGCAAGGTTTGGACCCAGGCCTCGGAACAGGGATCGCAGACCTTCCTTCTCAAGGATGGCCCTACAGAAGGAAATGAACAGAAAAATCAGCTGAATAACTAAGCTGGGGGCTCTCCCGTTTCTCCTCCTTCGTTCTTCAGAATTTCTTGTAGCATCCTCTCCTCACCTCAGAATTTCTTGTAGCATCCTCTCCTCACCTCCCATGTTATCCTTTTTCTGCCCTGCTCTCACTTTCTCTCCAACCACTTCCCTCTCCTTCAGTCATAGAGTCATAAAATGGTTTGGGTTGGAAGGGACCTTAAAGAACATCTAGTTCCAACCCCCACTACCATGGGCAGGGACACCTTTCAGCTGTCATTTCTTCCTCCTCTTGCTGACACCATCCTTCCAGATCTGATCAAAGCAATAGCTCAGAAATTTCTCACAGTCTCCAAAGCTGCCTTGTGGACTCAGAGTTCCAAGCACAGATCAATACTGAGAAGCAGATGTACCTGTGCTCTCAGGAAACGTTCTATCACACTCGCAGTACCAGAGCCTCAGCTCAAATGCTATTTCCATTTCTTTCTCTCTCTCCCCACCTCAATCGCTTCAACTGATGGCCAACCCTAACCTCCCTGGTGCCAACGTGCACACTGCTCTATCCTACTCACCTCAGCAACTTGAGCACTCCAGGAGATGGTGGGGTGGGATTCATCATCCTCAGGCTCATCCCTGTCACCTGTACCTCTGAGAGGCACAGAGGCCGCAGTGCTAGCTGGGATGACTGTAAACGTGTCTTCACCACCTCCAGGGGACAGGTCAGGATGGCTCCAGCTGTGCCACCACACCTAGGGCATAACACCACACTTAAGAATGACTTCCGTGCCATAATAGGGCAATAATTCTGACCCTGCTTGTCCACAACTTCTCCCCTCTAGGAGAGGAGGTAGGCTAGGTACCCCAGCCTGCGTCACACACGACCTCTTGCTCTGACACTGATTAACGTAATGACAGCTGAGCTTGGCAGCCTCACTTTGAAACCTTAACTCAGTGTTTGAGACAAACAGTCCCAAGTCCATAGGGACTCAGCAGTCCCCTAGAGAAAATATTTCTGCTGCCCAACCTCACAGCAATGCTTTCTGCTGAGATCACCAAGCACCATGCCTCACACCTCTCCACAGCCGCACTAGCTCAGAGAGGGGTAGCACAAAACTCTCCCACCCCTCAGCCTACACATATCTTCAACTCATAACCCATTCACATTCCCAAATTTCCAAGGCCCTGTAAGCAAGACCTCTATTTTCTGCCAGTAGCCAGGCTCATCCCAAGCCTGACTTGCTTAATGACCGAGGACCCTGACCTTCAGCAGATAGAAGTTATTTTTGGAACTCGTGAGCCATCACCATCAATCAGTCTAGTCACACTGCAGGAAAGCTGGAAGGACACATATTCCCTTTTTCCCTTTCTACCACCTAGGGACAAGTCAGAACTGTCGGTTCTTGGCTTCCGCCCCTTCAGATCCTTTGACTCTGCTCTAGAAGAAGTTTTTCTAGAGGATGCTCAGTACCTAAAAGACCACTTTGAGATGAATTTGCATGTAACAGGCATGCAAGAAGCTTTGACAAATGGATGATTGTTCACATGGGCTACAGCCAAAGCTGCTTTGTTTCACAAGAGATGGAGGTTTAAAAAAAAAAAAAGCTTACTGTGCTCCAAAGAAAGAAAGAAAAGCCAACCGAAGAACTACAAGATATCAGGGAAGAGTCAGGTGTATCAACTGAATTACATGTGACCATACAGGACCAGCAAATGGCTAGAGTTCTGAAGAATTATTCTGAAAAAGTCTATACAGCTCAGCACACATATACATTGTTCTCCCAGGCTTTGCTCCTAGGGCTTCATTTATTATTGCCTACAGGTTAGGGAGGGGAAAAAAAACAAAAAAGAGGCCTGGATGGCTATTGCAATGATATCCAAGAGCTGAAGATCTGGCAACTAGAATATTATGCAGATAATGATGCCAGCAACTAGTATGCTATTCCAGAACACTCATGCTGTTTTGTCAAGCCCTTGGCAGATCTATGCAGTGGTGATGAATTACAGAGCAGCTGATCAGCAGCAATTTCCCTCAGGAGATATGATGAGCGGAGGGAGTCTGGGAACATGACCCAAGAATTTAACTCCAGTTCAGAAGACAACACAAAGTAGAGCAGTAAACATTCTGGCTTAGATTCTCAGAATAAGCAAGCTGATCAAGCACAGACTCTGAGACACAGCCTACATAGCAATCCAAGAGTCGTGTGAGGCAAGGTCTCCTTTTATGAAGGTCATGTTGATTCTTCCCATATAGACCATACTCACTCAGGGGCCCAACAGTCCTGTTATTTACCATAGTTTCCACTGATTTGTCTGATAAAGGTTCCAGACTTACATGCCTGTTGTTTTCTTGATCAGAAGTGCAGTTTCCAGTTCAGGAGAAGACTGAGTACACTGGTGACAGATTAAGATGTCTAAAAGGTCTGAATAGAGCAAATTCAACTTTTTATCTAAAAGCAGAGCAAACACTACAACAGGACAACATTTAGAGAAGCAATTGCTTGGTATACTAAAGTTCTTCAGTCTAATAGTCCATAAGAAGGCACAACTCTATGTAATGTTCTTCTAATCTCTCATTTCTTCAAGAAGTCCCTACCTGCAATGATCAGGGTATGAGTTTGAACCCACACTTCAGTACCTATGAAAGTTTCCTGAGTTCAAATTCCTCAAGCTACTGATACGTGTAGTTACCTAATAGAGAAGAATTATGAAAGCAATAACAGGAGTTTAAAACATTGTTAGCATAGTGGTAATTTAATCAGCAGTAAGAGAGTTTGAGGTGAATGGGGACCTCCGAGCCACTATGGCTCAATGGCAAGACTAAAGTGGAGCACAGAACGCTCAACGCTAAGGAAATGAGGTGTACCAAAACTAGAACAAATCTCAACTATGCTGTCTTACCATGAATTACATGATGATACAGCTGCTCACAGCGTATGAAAGGCATAGGTCTGTAAAATTCTTCTGTTTCAGGAGAAATGGAAAATTATGTGTCATTACTCTAGAAGCAGGAACAAAAGCAATTCCTGCAAAATATGACGAAGAGCAGCAGTTGACAACCAGTACAACACGTACTCTCAGAGCAAAGCAGTGGCAAAAAGAGCTAACTGAAGTAGGCAGGGAATTTTATCTTAGAAAATGGTTCTTGCTTTAGATCTTCCTTTCACGTTTTAAAAGGAAAACTGGAAAGTCTGAGGTGACAGAAAAAGAAGATTATTTGAGAAATACAAATAAACACCGTCAACATTTTTTCAGCGATCTGAAAAGTGTCTAAGCACATGTACAGAGGTGACAAGGTTTACTCGTAATTCTAAGTATAGTTCTTACTTAGGCTATCCAAAAATTGAGATGGCTTGAAGATCTTAATTTAAAAATAACAATGCTAGGTCACACAACTCTATAGTTAAACCAGGCTTCTGCCTAGGATACAAGCAAACAAAGGTCACCTAGAGAAGAGCAGGAGAAATACTCATCTCCAGAACACTTTTCCCAGCTTCCTGCAATTTTCAGTTCAGGGATTTGCTCAGGCAGAAATGTTGCTTTGCTTTTAATAGTCTTCAACATATCTTTTTTCATTCATCTCTTTAAAATGCTTTCTGGACATAAAAATCCTTTAGCCCCCACTACCCTGTGGTTAGTTTAGCTGTGTGCTGTGTTAAGAATGATGTTCTTTCATTAGTTTTGAACAAACCTCTCACAAGTTTCGTTTGATGGTCCCCAGTTCTCGCACCAGCAGATAAGGGGAACAACTCTTGAATAAGATCCTGTTTCATTAAGTAAAACAATAATATTAACTATATATGGCAGCAATAAGATGAACCTCTCATTCATTTCTTACTTTATTATCCCTTGCGTTTTAATTAATTGTAATGCAAGGACTATTGCTTAATGGAAGAGAACGGGATACCGACTCACAAAGTTCCACTAGTGACATTCTTGTCACTACCCAAACTCTCTTGGTTTTTCAGTAACCAAGGTGGAAAATGAAGATGAGGAAAGGCTTAACAAGAAAGCTAAGGAATAAGAATATATTGAGAAAGGCTGAGATGCAGTGACTATATAGTTCAAAGGATAAATTAATAAAAGAGAATAACATATACAAAATAACACTGGGAACAAAGAGGGTAAGTACATATAAACAAAGACTGCCATAGTGTAACAACTGCATCAGCTGCAGAAAACTGAAAATTTGCTAGTTAAGAACAACTAAATAATCGTGTGTTATTGCACGTGCTGTATCACAGGTTTCACTGTCACACGGACTCCGGCGGGCTTGTGGGATTTGAAAAGGCATTAGGTGGCTGCCTAAGCGAGAGACTTCTGCAGTTACTCAGCAAAGTCCAGAGGACCACAATTATCTTCTGTTTTAGGGCATCATAAACTTGAAACTCATTGTTTTGAGACTTTAAAGAGAGAAAGGGCGAGTTGCCACGTGAGAAGGGACTTGCTCAAGGGCACGCTTCTAATTCAGAGAGGCACCGCTGGGATCCAACCACCTGACTCACCCGAATCAGCCGCACTATTTAAAGCCAGAAAAGACACACAGGAATGCCAGCCATGCGATGCTGGAGAGCTGGCTGCCCTCCCAAAGACATGGATGCTCCACCATTTGCTCCGCTGGAGAGGCCCTCGTGGCGCCTCTCATCCCTCCCCGCCCTTCATCTCCCCGCTTCCCTTGCTCCCCATCCCTGGCAAGCTCAGGCTGGACGAAACTCCACGTCCCGCAGGGAGTCTCCCCTTCTTTCCAAACTGCAGAGCCAGACATTCACCCCGGCGCTGCGCGGCTGCTCCAGGGCACCGAGCCCACGCGTGAACCCGGCACGGCCAGGACGGCGCGGGCGAGGATGGCGGGGCAGGGGCAGGGCGGGGGCTCCTCTCCCGCAGCTCCTCCCCGGAGCAAAGCCCAGGGCCCGCCGGCCGCGCGTCCCGGGGCCACTCACCCTCCGGCGAGCAGGTGGAGCAGCGTGCTGTGCTGGGCCATGGCTCCGCTCCCTCTGCCCGCCCGCCGCCGCCCCGGGCCCCCGTCGGGCCCGCCCGCAGCCCCGCATTGGCTCCGGGCCGGACGCGGGAGGAGCCCGCGGGGCGCTGGGGGTGGAGTAAGGTTTCCCTCCTTAAAGATTTTAGGGTGCTAATTCACAGAGGTCGTTTTGCCGGCCTCTCAAGCTCTTCCATTAAAAAAAAAAAAAAAAAATTAAAAAAAAAATAAATAAAAAAATAGAACGACATCCCCGCGCACCCCCCCTCCCCCAAACCCAAACTCGTATTTGTTTTGCAAGTAGGGGAGCCAAGGCAGAGTGGCAAACTAATTTTGTTTTTTTCGACCACAGGAAAGTGATGGGTCCAGGAGCAGAGCCAAGTCCTCCCTGACTCCCATCTTCGCTCACGGGACCCACAGATGCTTCCTCGGATGTTTGGGTTCATATGAAAATAGGCCAGTGCTCTCCAGACAAAAAACCCCACCCAAATTAGACCCATGATTTTGAAGTCTGAAGGATCAGTGTGCCAAAAATGGGGAATATTCAGGACCAAAAGATCCTCTGTTGCTTTTGCAAATGCACAGTTTCAGAGGGTGTCAGAGTTCATCATCTTCCTTATGAAAAGCAGAAGGTACATCAACATCATGCTGTTGCCAAAACGGCACACATCATATCAGTTTATGTGTTTGGAAGGATAGCCTGTAGGTCAGATGAAACAAGCTGTCAGATCAGCTCTGCACTGCTGTGGCTTCACTCACAGCAATCAAGTGATACAAGACTGAGTGTCCAGTTTGGACTCATGCTGCTACAACACAGGCAAACATGGGGAAGTGAATCCACAGAGGGAATAACTATGTTGGCAATCCAAGCAGGAGAATTGCAAAAAACGCAGTGTTTAGTCTAGAGAACAAAGAATTGAGGGAGACACAGCAACTGACTCCACTTAAGTACAAAGATACTTCAAAAAGGAAAGAAGTACCTTATGGACAAGAGCAGAACTATCAGCTCATCAGTAGTACCCATCACTACATGGGCAATGAGGGGAAGACCAGTAAAAGACTGGCTTTCTTGTCAGCAAAATCAGAAATTGGCCAAAGATACCAAGAAGTTGCAAGTATTTTTCACTTGTCTTCACTATGATGGTGGCTAGGAGAATATCTTAAATAGCACTGACTGCAAGTTGGGGAAAAGTCATTCTAGATTTCTAAAACACTTTTGCAAAGTCAATGTTTTCAGACCAGTTAGGCTTGATGAACTTCGCTCTGTGATGGGTGGAGACCTGGCCCAAGCAACATCAGGCTCACTGCAGTTATCTTTGAGATATCTAGATTATAGAGAGATTCAGAAGACTAGAAAAGGCCAAATATATTGGCTATTAAATAACAGCAACCATAACAACAATAATAATATCTGATTACTTATTGTCCAGCCAGCATCACTTTATTGTCTTCCCCTGTGATACTGGAACAAATAAACATTAAGTAGTCTACTCACATTTTACATTTGCCAGAAAAAGAAATCAAGTCAAACCAATCTCTCATGGCAGACTAACAGGCCTTTTGGGTAAGTAAGTAACAATAGATGCAAAATATTTTTACTTCAGTGGGGGTTTTTATTCTGTTTCATCTGAAACTATAACATACTAGGAAACATGGGAAACTGCTCTACTGCAATCAGTGTTGGGAGAGTCTGATGTTGATTAGACAATTCTAAGATTAGATTTTGATGCTATGCTGTCTATCTGGAAAAACATATGCAAGAAGGAGTCCTACAGAGATCTTTTTTCAATGTGCTATTAAGTTTTTTCAGTTATTTATACAGTGGACTAGAAAGTGTGCCTATTAAATTTGTGGACAACACTAACCTGAGAGTGTTTGCAATGTATTTGGTAGAGAAAATTCTTCAAATTATCTTGATCAATGGGAGAAGTAACCTGAAAGACTAGAACACCATTTAATAAAAGCACGTGCAAAGTTCTGTACTCAGAAAGGAATAACGAATTTCACAAAGTTAGGATGGGGAATAGCTAGGCAGAGACCTGCATTTTGTCACTGGACCCCATCAGGTCCAGGAAATTCAGCATAGTATTGGGTACCATCAAACTCAGACTGACTGAAGAATGCAGAGCCTGAACAGCCTATTCAGGAGCTGTACAATTTGCTTCTCTCACATCTCCAGGAGTTATTGAAGGCCCCTTATATTTCACTTCTTACTGCCAAATTATTTATACTTCACATGCAAGGGTCCATTTATTTTGCTTCTTTTCCTGTTGACTGTAGATCAGGCCCTTTGTTTTCTGTCTCTGAACAGAAATAGTTGTGGCTTCAGCAGGACACACGCACCATGAGCTATAGCTGTGTTTCTCCTGGATACTTTGCCACCATTGACACCTCTGGCCCTTTCAGTATCATCACATTCTTTTGGGAATACAAGGGATATGTGAGGCCATCCAACTTTTCCTTTTTTCACCTTTGCTCTGGATCTAAGACCTAGAAAGCCTTGCTCTGCAAGGTTTCTTTCTGTACCTTCAGATGGAGAGGCACCTGTGCCTCACTCTTAAGCAATGGTAAACTATGACTGAGTCATAGAAGATGTTTTCTGAAGGCCTCCAACACTACAGACTGTCTTCAGCCTGGTGCAAATGATACCACAACATTTTCATTAGACCAAAGGACTGCTTATTGTTGGAACTGGTTCAACAATGAGCGTTTCTTTACAAGACTCTTGGTGAGCCTGAAGGCAGTCAAGAAACAGAAAAAAACCTCATCTTCCAATTTTTCTTTAGTGTTTCTTGTCCCTGCAGGCAGCAGCGATGACCCTGGGTGTATTCTCTGTGGGGCTGTTTTGCTGCTCAGCCTTGCTGCTCACAGAAGGGAGGCTGTGGGGACTTTTTTTACAGGGCAGTCTTTCCAAGTCCCTGTCCTGGACCAGTAAGCCAGGCTGGACTGGTATCATAAGCTGGTGTCATAGGCATACCCCCAAGACCTTGTTACAAATGTTTATAAATTAGAACTGCTTCATCTTGACTTCTTCACCACTCAGTCTGTGATGGCTTTGTTATTTATGTCCGTGCCTTGTCTCAATACTCATTCTCTTGCCCTTCATGTCTTTGTGTAGTCTATTGGTTTTACCTAGGAGCAGCATTGTTCTTCCAGAAAGTAATTCAGGATTCTGCCCCAAAGCCTCCTCCACCCCTCTCTCTTCAGCTGCAAGAGCAGTTGAGTGTATGTAGGATTGCCAGTTGGTAATAGCAGGCGAGCCTTGTTTTGTCCTTCTGGGGGGTTCATTCTGGAAGGGTTAGGTTAGTGCACTCACAGTCCTGGGATGACTACAACTTACAGGAAGGGCAGACCATAGGGCAGACATCTGGAAGAGTGGAATGTATTGTGCCTGTGTTACGTAATATGTGCAACTTGACTCCATGTGTAAGAGTAGTTACGTAAACGGCTTTTCAGGCGTCATCACCTTAATGCAGCTACCTGTCAGATGTAGGGTGCTTCCACAGCAGTGCCCAAATGGGCGTCTGATGTGTGCTTTCAAAATGAATCTTCCAGCAATCCCAGCTTGCTGGGCTTGGGCTTGTGCTGCAAAACAGTCTCAGTGTGCAAACAGGAGGTGCTAATGCACTGTACATAGGAGACACCTCCCCAAACCTGTTTCGTGTGAATGTTGTATTTTCAGCCCCAGCTCTTATAACTTTAAAGATTTGCTCCCGCTGAGCCATACTGCTTGCTAGCACAGAACTGGCTGTGGACATCACATGTGTTTCAAAGCTGTAAGCAGAGCAGTCAAGGAGACCTACTGCCAAAGAATTGTGTCTTAACCAGCACCAGATGTCAGTGTTTGGACAGATGAACCGCACCTGGCAAATCTGGAGAGGACCCTGCAGAGGAGCATATGCCTTTGAAAAGGAGAAGATGGGATTTGATTCTGTAAACAATTTATTTCTAGTACTCTGTTGTCATGGGAGGCAGTACACATCACGCAAACCCCTCCTTGTGCTTTTCCCATTCTTTTAGATACTATAAACAAATGACCTCTGATTTTCCAGGTGGTTTGACCCTCCACTGGAATCACATCTGTAGAAGGATCAAGGCTGTGAAGGAGTTGATGTTTCTATGGCTTATCTGAAGCCATCACATACTTTTCAGTCAAATGCAGGCACTTTTGACCTGTGTCTGCCAGTTGCAACATTCTATTGATCCCAGAGCAAACTATAAAATATTAGTCCATCAGCCGGATGAGCGTGTTTTAATATAGTATATGTTCACTTACGTATACATACAAATATATACATGTATGTGCCATATCCATCTCATTGAATATATATATATTTACACATATTTGCAAATACAATGAGATGCATATGATACATACCAGTATAGATCTTGTATATACATATACATACATATCTCAGATAATCATGCCAAACACATACCTCGCACATATCTCAGATATACATACCATATACATCTTGTTGTATTTGCAAACATATATATGTATATATAAATGTACGCATATATATAAATATATATATAAATATATACATACATGTAAATATTTATATATATATATATTCAGGCAGATGTGCAGGGTGCATACCATATACATATACACATTGCTTCGCTCCAGCGGCGGCCAGCAGAGAGGGGCACATCCCTCGGGAACGGGCCCGGGAGCTGCGGGAGCAGGGTGGGTCGGGGTGGGGTGGGGTCGGGCGG